ATACGCCTGAAAATTGAGATCCCAAGACAGCACGTTTATGGCGTAAATGGATTGTAGAAACCCAAATCGACTGTAGAATGTAAGATAAGGAGAGAGAGTAAAAGAGATAGGTCCTTCTCGATTCAAGGAGAATCTCCCCACAGTGGTGGGGTTGAACACGAAGCATTTATGCCGTCGATCAATTCGAGCATATATCCAAAGTTCACTATGCAACACTGTTGGAAATGTATCTCATGTCCATGTTGAAAACACCAGACTTACTTGACTTTTTTATAGCCAAAGGTATCTCGCTAAGCCAGGTTGAGGTAAATACAAGCTTGGACTTGTCATCTGATCATTCGCCAATTATACTCACATTGAGCTCTACACTGGTAGACAACGAAAAACGGCCGTATTGGACAAACTCGAAAACAGACTCTTTACAGAACACTTATAAATAATAATATAGATCTAAATATCCCATTAAAAACTGCAAACAACTTAGATCAGGCGGTAGAACTCCTAACTAAGACGCTGCAGGATGCAACATATAAATCGACGCCTGAAACCAAAGCTGAAAATAAACACGCAATGAACCATCCGTTATCCGTGAGAATTAAAATTGCAGAAAAGAGGAAAGCTAGGAAAAAATGGCAGTTATCTGGACACCCTGATGATAAGAGAACGCTAAATAAGTTAACCAGGGAACTCACAAAGCTGCTGCACCAAATTACAAACGAGCGCATCCAAGATTACCTTCAAAGCTTGTCTCCACGTCAGGAAGATAATTACTCCTTGTGGAAAATCACAAAAAAATTGAAAAGGCCAACTGAACACATCTCTCCTATAAAAATGGGAAACAACCGATGGGCCAGGAACGATCAAGAAAAAGCCGATACTTTTGCAAATCATTTATCTACAATCTTCACACCGAATGACATACCAACGCTCGACAGCGACTACAGAGACATCACGAACTTCCTTAATGCTCCCTCGCAACCTTGCGAACTCATCATACAGTGGTCCGCTGACTTGAAGTCCCGCGAGACGGCACAGGGGCAAGGGGAGTCGGACCGCCCATTTATCTGTCTCGCTCCCTTGCTCTCAGGCAGTCCACATGTGTGTGTAACTGCCGCGACGAATAGCGAGCTAGAGACCAATGTGTGCGTGGGAATACGTGTGCCCCTTCTACTTCTCTCGCATTCCTTCCGCGGGACTTCAAGTGAGCGGAGCACAGTACATTTCTCTCCCGGAGAAATAGCACAAGAAATAAAGAAACTTAATGACCGAAAAGCACCTGGATATGATCTCATTACCGCTAAAATGTTAAAAGAATTACCAAAAAAGAAAGGTGTAGTAGCTATCACGCAAATATATAATGCGATACTGAGAGTTCAGTATTTTCCCATCCAATGGAAATTTGCGACAATCATTCTGATTCAAAAGCCTGGCAAACCACCCACAGAAGTGACCTCTTACAGGCCTATCTCACTGTTACCAATCTTGTCAAAATTATTTGAAAGATTACTGCTAAATAGGCTAACACCAATATTAACGGAGAAATGCATAATCCCACAACATCAATTCGGTTTTCGGAAGCAACACTCTACTATCGAACAAGTACATCGTATAGTCAATGTGATAGAAGAATGTTTCGAGAAACGCATGGTATGCTCCGCTGCGTTTATTGACATTAACCAAGCTTTTGATAGAGTTTGGCACATGGGCTTGTTATATAAAATTAGGCAAAACCTTCCATATAACTACTATGTTCTGCTAAAATCATACTTAAATGACAGGTTCTTCCAGGTCAATCAAAACGACAAATACTCGAAAATCTACCCTATACTCGCGGGTGTTCCTCAAGGTAGCGTCCTAGGTCCCACATTATATCAAATCTATACAGCAGATCTTCCTGCAGATGAAAACGTACTCGTGGCCACATTCGCGGACGACACTGCGTTCTTATCTTCCCATGAAAACCCTGCGGAGGCGTCACGATTCTTGCAGGGAGTTCTTGATAAGACTACAGAATGGACCAAAAAATGGAAAATTAAGATCAACGTAAACAAATCGGCACATATTACATTTACTACCAGACATATTACGTCCCCTGCAGTCAAACTGAACAGCGAATACCTCGAGATCAAGGACTGTGTCAGATATCTTGGTCTGCACATGGATAAAAGACTCACATGGAAAGACCACATAAAAAAGAAAAAAATGCAACTAAATCACAAAATGAGAACCATGTATTGGGTGCTTGGTCGAAAATCGAAACTTACACTACACAATAAACTACTCCTGTATAAGGTCGCTATCATTCCTATTTGGACATATGGAATACAACTCTGGGGATGTGCCAAGAGAAGTAACATAGACATCATCCAAAGGTTTCAGAACAAAACACTGAGAACTATTGCTGCCGCCCCTTGGTACATTACCTCAGACTCTCTTCATAATGATTTGAGCATACATAATATCAAACAACACATAGAAAAATTTGCGACAGCACACAAGAAACGAATATTAAATCACCCCAACGACAATGTCAAGGATCTAAATCAGGCACCACAACACAGAAGACTAAAAAGGAACAAACCGACCGATTTGCAGAGTTAAGTAAAGAAGGAACATCACATGTAATGGAAGCGGCAACGCTACGGAGCGTTTACTGCACGCATGCCACGTCTCTAGTTCATCAAATTTGCTGGTTAGCTCAATGAAGCTAATTGTAAATGTAATTTAATATCAATAAAATGTCCATGTTGGCAAACATGCATCTTTTGTTTGAGTATAGCAGTTGAATAGCGTTCAGTGCCTTGTATGCAACAATTCGTACTATGTTAAAATGTAACCTAAAAAGTATATGCGTCATTTTATTGTCTAATCCTATAACCTCCGCTACAAACACTATAAATATAAAATCAAAAGTTCCCATTTGAAATGTACGTGGTTCTACCACACGACGTCGCCTAAAAATCAAGAATCATTTTCAGCCAGCTCTCTTTCATACAATTCTTCTCTGACCTAGAATCCTTTGCTGTCGCTAAATATACAGAACGTGAAAAAGTCAATGTACAAATAACGACGAGCGTACCAGATCACGGATCACGGACGGTGCAGCAGCAACTGTGCAACTCTGTGACACGTTTCAATTAACGTGTTCTATATATAGGGCGATTCGTCGAGAGAAAAGCTTCCGATCGTTTCGTTGGTCGCCAAGGATACAAAAGTTACTTGTAAAATTTCGTTTTTCACGTAGTGGTGGAGCATCCATTGTTACCACGAGTATGCAAAGATGCAATAGTATCGAAGAATCAGCGAACGCAGAAAACAGAATCCGTTCGGTGGGAAACAACAAACGCTGCATGCGAGTGACCACAGAAGAGAACGTGAGTGTTCTTCTATAAATACGTTGCTCGAGGTGGGCGAGCGAGGGATGCAATCCTGTGGAACTAGAGCGACCGAGCCGACGACGACCAATTTTGCAGACGTCGTGTGGGCGTCGATGAAGAACCTGCTGGTGTCGTCGCACACGTATTCCTAACACACATAGTGGATGTAACCACCAGTGGCCGCGCAAACCAAGCGTACAGATTGGATTTTCGTTCGGTTCCTTTTTATGTCGGTCAATTTTTATCCGCAGATGGCAGATGCGATTTCGGATTAGAGGAACCACAGGTTGATTCATCCGCTAGTCACTTTTCAATCTTCGTCGGATTCGACAGGGCATAGATAGGACAAAAGGGAGAGATTATAAATACACAATCCAATAAAATTGTATATTTCAGATGTTGTCAGTATGTTTCATTATGTTTATGCACATATCCTCTTCATACAGAACTACGCAACATCTCAAATTCCTTTCCTTAGTGATTTCATTGTTTATCCTGACTCACACCCGAACCATGATCACTCATTTTTGGAAGCTCTCTCCGTCTCGCCCTTTTCTCTCCCCACCTTTCCCTCTTTTCCAACCCTACATATATCCTGTGCTTTTCCTTTGATTCAGATTCTGATTTTTGGCAGTTGCACGAACACATAAAGTTTTAGTCCAAGTCTACGAATAGCCAATTGTTTTTGTATGCCATTAGTCCACACAACCTAGTATTCCAACGTTTAATAAAGTGTTATTAAGTGAAATACAACACAGAATTTTAATACCAATATTTGTTACGGTAATAGTTTGTAACGCAGCTTTGTTTCATTTGCATCAAACACTTGCCACAGAATTTATTAGAATAAACACGAAACTTCTTTCCACATTGCAGTATATTAACTAGCGAAATGGTCTAAATAACCCATACATAATTTCTAATAAAAATTGTACAAAATTTACTGGACTGGATTTCTGAAAATTTGCAGTACTCTTGAAGAGAATGAATGAATTTTCATCGTGTTGTACATTTTACAAATAAATGCATCATAACTGGAGGTATTTCTAGTGTTAAATATACATACACTTTACACTTATAGTCTAATATAATAACTTAACTCTTCAAGTGGTGATTTAAAGACCTCCTTTCCTTCCCTACTGGCGCTAATTTAAACGGCTACTTAAGCTACTTTCTATAGGGTGTGACTGAAACTGTGACCAAACCTAATTCATTGAAATTTTCAGGATATGTTAACCCCTTAACGTTCATACCCGAGTTTGACTGCTTTGAAAAACAATATTTGTTTAATCCAACGGTTTAAGGGATGATAATATTTGTTTTCCCTCAAATTATACGTTAGATACAACATTGTAATTAACAAAAACCACATTTTTAGAAACAAATCCAATAAAGAAAACTGATCATTGTTGGTTAACCCAAAAAATATGAGCTTTAAGGGGTTAAGTACAGTTTTCTGTTTTGCATGTTAACCCCTTAGCTTACAATGACGTCTCAGAGACATGATAAGTCTACCGGGCCAAACCTTGGTGTAGCTTTTGGCACGCACAGTTGGAAATTAAATCGTATGGCAAGGGGTTAAAATATAATTGTTGCCGGAAGAAAATAAAACTTATAACTCACCTAAAATCTGGCTTCAGTGTGGTAAATCTTGAAACGGTCATTGAAGCACGACCCTACACCACAGTCTTTGCACCAAAATGTTGTCTTTTCTCTTTTGCAATCTTTTGCGACACACTACACACCTTTTAGTTGCTTTTTTCTTTGTCGATGGCATCTTTTCTATAAAGTATCTCGCTGTCAGTCTTTCAGAGGCTGGAGTTTTTGATAGTCTTCCCGATTGAGGGGATTGAATTGATTTTCCATGGATTTCCAGAAGTTCTTTTATAAGTTCAAGCCTAAACGAGAGATGGTCAAGGGTTTTTATGTTTCTGTTCATTGAATGAATAACCATGGTATTATGAACCGAGGTATTTAGAAGCCGACTAAAAATGATTATTGAAAGAAACGAAAGGAATAATGCGAGATAATACGAGAGTGGGCGTCTTGGAAACTCGTGGCTTGGCTTTCGATGTATTCTAAAGAAACTTAATTTATAGTACTTAAAATGTATTCATCCGCAAGTTTCTCGTATTCGCTTTTGCTCGCGTACTAATAGGTTAGTTCTTCCACGAGAAGAAGACACAGCGTGTTTACATCCTCACTCTTGCTGCAGACCGCTGATTGGCTGCCAACGATCTTCGTCGCCGTTCTCGACCAATCCTGTGAGTCAGCGGACTGCAACAGGAGTGGGGATGTAAACACGTTGTTCCTTCTTTTCGTGGAATACGTCCACAGACCTAACCAACCCATTAGTCTGGCGGGAAATATAAACAGCTGCACGCGAGCGACACGTGATCAGACCAGGGACGAAATGTAATGTTCCGATCCCTACATAGTAAGAAAAAGCTAATTTTCTAAATAAAAAGTATTCATCCTCAACATTAATACATTATTAATATTATTACATAATAATGTAAATAAGGAGACAATAGATATGTTCAAAATCCGAAGAGGACATGGTTGATAAAATACACAAAACTTCTCTTTTATAAATATAAAAAAACAGGAACCACAAATATAAAAAAAAAACAAAAAACAAATAGAAGAAATGATTATAACACTGAAGTGAAACCAAAGAATAAAAATTTTAAAGACAATGGAGGGTAAAAGGAAAAACGTTAAAGTACAACGAATACCAAAAAATCTGACTGTTTTTCTACGTTTTTAGTTATTTCAAAAAAAGTCCATTTCCCTTTTCGTAACTTCAAGTTAAAGAAATGAAACAAATTGTCTCTTACAATTCTATGACCATAGTGTGCATATTTGGAGAACATTTTACTTGGCTGTGTACGCGTTATGCGAGGGCCCTTCTTAGGGGCCCCTACAAAGCGTCCCTGAGCAGCGACGTTCAGCAGCCACTCACCTGCGGCAGCAGCGTCGATCACTTTCTGTTTATATTTCGTGTCAGTTCTCGTTGAATCGGGTTATAAGTACTAACAAGAAACCATCGCGAACGGTCCGGCTTCGATTTTGATGAAACTTTGTACACTTATAAAGCAGCCAAAAATAATCGACACGTATTTTTTTTTAGCTGCGGTAACTCGAGTTTAAGGGGTGAAACCACCCCTTGAAGTTTTGCCTCGAAACGGCTATCTCGAAAACGGAAAGACATACAAAAAAATTGTTAATGGGCGAGGTTGATGGTTTCTTATGTACAATAACATGGTGTTAAAAAATTTAAAAAAATACAATTTGTTTATAACAAAAAAAAATTTATTAACTTAATTTTTCATTTTATTGAAATTTTCATAATGACAAAAAATGACGAGCATTTTATTCCAAATACATTGGTATGCGATTTTTTAAAAATGCCTCCTACAGTTTTGCAGATTTTGATGATTTACATCTTGCGCGCACATCCATTATGGTAGTAGCCGTTCTAACTTTGATTTTAATGAAGCACTGTAGGCTTGCACTACTTCTAGAGGACAAAATCGGGAAAAATACAAGAATATCAATTTGTTGATTGAGCCATCGTTAAAAAGTTATTAAAAAATTAAATTAAAAAATTTCAAATCCTCCAGGAAAAAATTATTTTCGGTTGCGGGGGCCAATTACAATCATTTTTGGTCAATACATATACCCACGAAATCCTACGCACTTTCGAGAAAAAAATTCCTAATCGAAAATGTAATTTATAGCCAGAAATATTGTCCGACATGCGGATCTTTAAAATGTCATAACTTCTGAACGGATTGAAGGATTTTAATTTTCAAAAATGCAAACGACGCGTATTTTAATCAAGAATACGTAGAAATCGCAAAAATATGCAAAAAGTTAATCCTTGACCCCGCAAAATGAGAAAAACCCCATAAAAATGGTCCAATCTTCAAACAGCCATAATTCCTACAATAGTGAATATATTTCAATGAAACTTTTTTCTGAAGTAGAGCTCATAGGTACCTACAAAAAAGTATTGGCCAACTTTTTTGTAGGGCGTCAAACAAAATTATTAAAAATGAAAAACGAATTTTTAAGAAAAATCGACAGGGCGTAAAGGTGCCTAAATTTTTCAGCGAAAAAAAAAATTTCAAATCGTTCTAAAAAAATTATTTTCAGTTGCGGGAGTCAATTTCAATCATTTTTGGTCAATGTATATACCCCCGAATTCCTACGCACTTTTGAGAAAAAAATTCGAGAATGTGTGAAATTTTTCAATAAAATTAAAAAATTTCAAACCATTCTGAAAAAATTATTTTCGGTTGCAGGGGTCGATTACAATCATTTTTGGTCATTACACATTCCCCCGAAATCTTGGGCATTTCGGAGAAAAAAATTCAGTACAGGCGGAACTTTAAACGTTAATAATTTCTTAACGAAGCCTCCATCAACAAATTGGTATTCTTGTATTTTTCCCGATTTTTTCCTCTAGAAGTATTGCAAGCCTACAGTGCTTCATTAAAATCATAGTTAGAACGGCTACTACCATAATGGATGTGCGCGCAAGATGTAAATCATAAAAATCTGCAAAACTGTAGGAGGCATTTTTAAAAAATCGCATACCAATGGATTTGGAATAAAATGCTCGTCATTTTTTGTCATTATGAAAATTTCAATAAAATGAAAAATTAAGTTAATAAATTTTTTTTTGTTATAAACAAATTGTATTTTTTTAAATTTTTTAACACCATGTTATTGTACATAAGAAACCATCAACCTCGCCCATTAACAATTTTTTTGTATGTCTTTCCGTTTTCGAGATAGCCGTTTCGAGCCAAAACTTCAAGGGGTGGTTTCATCCCTTAAACTCGAGTTACCGCAGCTAAAAAAAAATACGTGTCGATTATTTTTGGCTGCTTTATAAGTGTACAAAGTTTCATCAAAATCGAAGCCGGACCGTTCGCGATGGTTCCTTGTAAGTAGCGCTCTATTCTTAGTAGTGCTGATTTCCAACAGAATCAAACGTTTGTCTGCGATACAAGGTAGAAATGTTTCTTTGAATCGTCGTGACACCGGATGGTCCGCAGACGATCATTCCCCTTGTATGAATAATCAATGAATTCCATATTTATTTACAGTGACTCACACTGAAAATCGTCCAGCACCGTCCATTTTATAATTTTATATATAGAATATTTTTGACTAACATGTAACTATTATAAACAGTACAGAAATATATTACGTACTTTATTTAATGATTCTGTGTAAAAAAATAATGTACAATTTTCTATAAAAGAGAATGAAAATTAATCTCTTCTAGATTCTTTGAACTAAAAAATGTATTGTCAATTGTTTTTTAATATTATCCTCCTCGTAAAGTGTTAGGTTAAACTTCAGTACACGTTTTAAGCGTTACCAGTAAAAATGAAAAATAGAAAAAGATAAACAACGATAAAAGAATGAAAACTTGAAGTTTTCTATTATAATCGAGGGATTCCCAAAAGAGAAATAGCAAAAATGATAAATAAAAGTCGAATTGCAAGCAGAACAAAAAATAGTAATGAGAAAATGTTAAATATTATGAAAGGTATGTTTCATGTAAAATAAAAGAAGATCCAAAGAAAAGTGCATCAAAAAGTGCTGCAGACACAAAATAGTGAAAAAGAAAAACGAGCAACCGAATGATTCAGGCGTGAAAACGAAAAGAAAGAAAACAGATATTTGAAAAGATAGAAGGACAACAAATAGAGAATTAAACGAGAGAAAAATGGTGATATTGAAATACCTAGCAAGTGCATACATGTATGTATGCACGGTACGTCGGCTTAGATGGAGCACAAAGAAAAATGGCGGAGCTGTCGAAGGATACAACAAGCAACACCGAAACGGATGAAAGGAAAGGAAAGAGCAAAGAGTGAATGCTGCAGGATATTGTGCGTTGAAACTCTTTCAATGTCGAGAAGCAAATGACAAAAAAATATACATTCCTTAGGAAGGCGTTGATAATGGCTCATATTTAACGGCGATTGTCATTTCCGGAGAACGTTTATTGCATTTCGATCGTCATTACTAGCTGAACATGTTTCATAATTGAAAGTAAAGAAAACACGACAGATACAGAAAAGCTTTTCTGTGTCGTACGTATTGCGACTGAAAGATTACCAATAATGTAAATTGTCTGATAATAATTTAAATAAATATAAGTCATCATATTTCATATAAAATTATCAACTTATAATATCAAGACACTTGGGTGAAAGGTTAGGTCTGAGGTTAGGTTAGGTTAGGTTAGGTCTTAGGTTAGGTCTGGGTTACGACGACATCCAGCTTATCTAGAAGTACCATGAATTTAAAGATAAAATCTTTTATTTAAAATGATCACTTGAAAAATTGACGAGTAATTTCTTTTTCACGCTTTTATTCCATTGTAAATGTGATGCAAACCTAACGATCAGAAGTATCGAAACGCGTCTGTTGTATTCGTGAAAAATTAGAAATTTATTTTGATTAAAATTTATTTTTATGTGTTCAACTTATTAATGATGGTTTGAATATCGTAGAATATATCTAGGAATGACTTTCTTTACCCGGTTTAACGAGATCCTGGCAGGAAATGTAAACCATGGACATAGGAATATAGGGACGGAGCAATAGTTGCGACTGTTGGCGAGGGGAGTGAAGCAGCTTTGCGGGGGGAAATCACGGTCACGTGGTACTCTCTGGTGCCGCATTAGTGATTGGTGCTATCCTAAATGCGCGAAATTTAAAATTGAAAGCTTTAGTTTCTTTACAATTATAAATGTACGATAGAATATTTTTAGTAAACCAGAGACACAAAATGTTTTATTTATAAATCAACATACTGAAATGCTAATGGTGATTGAGATGTCAGAATTAAATGGTTGAAAGTTCGAATCTATAGATATGAAAAATCTTTATTACTTTCGTTTGATATTTAAATTTGCAACTACGCAATGAATTCAGTACGGTTTGCATCATTATTCGATGAGATCTGTCAATAAATAAAACATGACTATTTAGGAATAGATAGATATAACTACAAGGTTATCTTTCACTTTTTTCGACTTAAGAATATGATTTAACGAATTTTGCAACATATAACTTGCTATCGTAGAGTTAAATATTGGTCATAGTCT